ATAATTGTTATAAAATGTTTTGATATAATACATGCATATGTACATATTTTAGATAAGGCATTGCTATTGTTATTCTGATTTTTTCCGATATATTTTATGTGCATTTCTGAAGATGATAACAAAATAAATGAGATAATAGATTATAAATAACCAAAATAAATGAGAACAATAGATTATAAAATAACCAAAATAAATTTTTTTGAATTATTATACTTTCTGAAAGAATTTTTATACTTTAGGCTCTTTGATTCATAAAGAATATGGTGTATTTTTGTACATGTACTTTCTTAAGACTGAATTCTGTGTGAGGAAATGCACACACAGGTATTTTCCTAATGGAAACGAGATGAAATATGAATCTAAAATCTACAGATGGCATGATTTTCCATATTGTAACATGGAGACACTTCTTTCCTCCCCCCTCTTACCAAAGTACCGCTATCTAAATTTCTAAGTTCATTTAAAAAAGGTCATGGATTAGAGCAGAAGGAAGTATCCTTTCTTCCCCCAGGAAACACTTGTGAATCACCCTCTGTGTTTTTGAAATGGTCTCTAAGTATAGACTCATCTAGGACTAAACCACAATGAGGAGAGATGGTTTTTGAGGCTCACATGAATCGGGTTAAAGTGCCCTTTTTGATCATCAAGCACATTTTAATGCTTACATCATGCTTGGCACTCTGCTGGACATGACAGAGTATCAATCCTTCAAATAGAATGGCAGGGTCTTTGATCTGTCATTTTTGCCAAAGGGAAATATATAAAAGAAGAGCAAAAATTAGTAATATCTGGAAGAGGCCTAGATAGCTGGATTTTGAACAGCTCCAGTCATCTTCCAAAGAAGAAAAGAGGATAAGATGGCAACTGGATGTCTGTAAGATACAGTATTAGGCTATTAAGAAAATTTGTTCATCTATTGGCATATTTAGGCCCATAGAATGATAAATCTGGAAGGAATTTTAGGGAGAGACGGTGAGGTTCTGAGGCTTGCTGATGATCACATAGATCTTAAGTAGGAAATAATAAAACCTTTCTGCTACACGTAAGAGGCAAAGTAGCATCGTAGTAAAGAACTTGGGTTCAGAGAAAGACTACTTGGGCTTGAATCCAGCTTTTGTCTTAATAACTGTGTAATCTTAAGCAAGTCATCTAAGCTCTCTGTGCCTCAGTTTCTTCATTTGAAAAGTGAGGACAATAATCTACTCATTACATACAGTTCTAAGGATTAAATACTAGGTATATCAAAAAGAGTCTTTGCGTTCCTAGAACATAATAAACAGCAATAATAATATAATAATAGGTATTATTATTAACACCAACAAGACAGAAAATCACTTCCACTTTTAATGTGATACCAAGTTCAATGCACCCTTTTATAATTCAGAAAAGTTGAGTGAGAACCAAGTCCTTTATGTGCACAAAAGACTATAGTCAATTGAAAATGCTACATCCTGGTGAACATTCTTTATATAGCTTTTCTAGTGCCTTAAATATTATCAATTGAAGTTGTTATTTAAGTCACAGTCTATTCAGACTTCTGGTATTAGGAATTTGCCTGTAATGGAAAATATCTGTTTTATTCTAAGTTATGAAACCGAGTGACCATGGCTTGAGTATTCTCCCAGAAGTTTCTACTGTATGCTGAGCACAGAATAAAGATATAGATTGAAGCAGATTTATTTCAGATATTATAGATTGGAGGCATAACTATACATGGAAGCAGACCATGAAAAATGCAACCTCAACTCTCCTTTTGAACCCATAGTAATTTATCTCAGAAACATTGTTGAGTTCCCTGTACTGAAGGTAAGTAACTTGCTCCAAGCTTTAAATCTTCTGTAGGGAGCGAGCCATTGCTATACCCTGTGCTTTAAGCACTGTGCCCCATGACTTGAAACTGTGAACATTACTCGGCATGCTTTAGCAAGGCAAGACTCTGAACCACAACATTCTCCAGAAAGGAAAAAATAGTTTGTAAATGAGGGAGGAAATTAAATGACAGCTACAACTCTTCATTCAAGGAAAAACAGTCCTGTAGGTACCCAAACAGAGAGGGAAAGGGAAACCACTGATTCACTTATATAAGCAACATTTGGATTTCTTCTTTCAACATTTATTCTGTGCATTTACTGAGCACCTTCACCACGGCAGACACTGTATGTGACTGTGTATGTAATAAGGGCCTGTACTGAGCATACACAGATGAATGAGATCCAACCCGTCCTTGTAAAGTATTCCAAATAAAGAGAGAAAAAGAAAAATGGCAATACATATAAAATGTGGTGTTGTTAGGGCTATGAGAACCTCTGACGGTCAGAGGGAAAAATGGCTTTCAAGATGAGTCCTAAAGGGCAAAGAGGAGTGAATCAGTGGTTCTTCTAGGCAGAGAGGGTAGCTTTTACCAAAGCACACAAAGGTGAGAAGAAGCTGCAAGTGGCTATATGGTCAGAAGGTGAATCTGGAGAGACAGAAAGGGACCAGATGATGAAGGGTCTCGGAAACCATGTTTCATAGTTTTATATTTTATCCTCAGACAATTAGAAGCAAATGATGGATGTTAATCAAAGAATGATACGAGCATATTTTAACTGTAATACAGAGAATAGATTGAAATGCAGAGAATTGACTGGCAGCCAGGTCACCAGTAGGGAGAACGTTGCAGGACTAAAGAGATGAGTGGTGATGTAGTCTAAACAGAGATGATTATAGTGGGGGTGGAAAGATTTGGGCAAATTTGAAAAATGCTATGGAAGTTCTTGCCTGGTCGTGGGTGATAAGAGAGAGGGTGGAATAATGGTTGACTCCCAGACTTCTAGCGTGGGAAACTGCATGGAAGATGATGTCATTCACTAAGAGACGGAGGTGGAGGAGCAAATTCAGAATGCAGAGCTATGATTATTCAGTTTTGAACACATTGAGTTTGTGGCATCTGTGGAACCAGTAAGTGGAGATGTTCAGACCAGTAAGGGAAATGTATAGCCTGAAGATCAGGAGGGAGCAACAAACTGTCGTCCAAATGTAGATGACCAAATCATCGGGCAGGATCCTGGAAAACACTGACATTGAAGAGGACAAAGGACTAGGAGCAGGACAAAGGGCTAGGGGAAAAAAGTCAGGGTGCATGGAGTCACAGAAAGGAATGAGAGAATGAGTGAAAGTGGTCTGAGAAGCATGATGTAGTCAGTGTCAAATACTGAGAGAGGTTACACACAACAGGCGTTGAGATTTGTCTACTGGCTATGGCAACAAAAATGTCACCTCCTAGTAGAGTGATCATCTGTCTGAATTTGCTTGAAACCATCTCAATTTATGCCTGTTGTTGCAGCATCATTATTATGAGTACCCTTCAGTGCCTAAGTATGGATAATAAATTATATCTTTGTCCCTGACATTGATTGGTACCAGCAGTTTCAGCAGTATGTCCAAGATAGATTGCAGTGAGATAGGGATGAATTGGAGGAGGGAGACATTGGATGAGGTAGCTTTCTGAAGGGGTGTGGTGAGGCTATCAAAGAGGGAATTTTAACAACAGGCGGGCATTGAGCTAGAAGGGTTTTGAAGTTTTTCCCAACCCTGGGACTAGTTCATGCTACTATTTTCCTTTACTATTTTGGGTCTTTAAAAATCAGGGAGAAGCAAGACTGTTCTGTTTCCTGTTCACACATTACAGAGCTAAATGCTACTTTCTTACAAGTTATTTACAAAGCTAACATTTTATCAATAAAATTATATGTATTATTCTGTTATCTTGAAAATAAATACCAGTTACTTGAAATGTCCTTTGTTTCCTCCATGTCCAAAAGGCAATATGAGGCAGAAATGTGTGAGTTGATTGTTTCCCTTAAGAAATTACTGTTAGTTCTAAATTTGGCAAAAGAATCATTTGTCTCTTAAATTATTTTTGTATGATAAAGCATTATTAATAATGATTAGATTGGGAGTAAATATTCTGCCTCTTATTGCAGATACCATTGACCTAGTAAAGCTAGGAAAAAATACATGCTTCCAATTTTATTTATACCTAGTACATTTTCTAATTTTCAGAACTTCCCGGTTAGACCAAACAAATATGTGTGAGAGTTTAAGCATTTAGACTTAAAATGAGAAAGAGGCAAGCAATATAGGTGTTTTTTTGTATACCATTTAGGTGAAGAAATCATAAGAAATGATCATTATCATAAGTAAAACAGTATCTCAGGACAACAAAATACATACGTACAGTGGAATGATTTTTTAAAGCCCATAAGGATATTGGTTTAAGTGGATAGCCAACCAAGAGTTTCAGGGCCATTTGCTTTCCTTGCAGAAGGGCAGCAAATGCAAATAATGACACTATTTGTAATTGTCTGCATGGGCCTCCTTTCTCATTGTTGAATGTGATTTTTGAAGGTCAAATTTCCAGCCATCAGCCTGTTCCCACCTTCATCCCCCATATACACTGGTGGAGGACTCCTGTGAGTCACAAGCACCTGTGAGGTTAGAAAAGGGTGATATTTTTTTATTGTTAAGACATAAATGACTGCTTTTTTTAAAAAGTGGGAGAGGGGATACTTCTGTGAAAGATAATTCTGTTTGAGAAAAGAGGTTAATGGGAAGCAATAAATTGTACAGCAGCTATAATTTCTCTGCCTGGAATAGCCCCATAAAGAATGCTGCAACAGAGAAGCATCTTCCTCTCCTCTTACTGTTTCTTAGTGGAATTAATAAAAGTGCAGTCTATTGCTTATCTGATCAGACACTATTGTGTTAATTAGTAAGTGGAACTAAAAAGTTCTCAAACATATTTCAAATCTTTGCATATTATTTATTCAAGTTGTCAATGATCAACTTATGCTCAATACCTCATTTTAAGGATAATTTGCCATGTATTCTTCGGATATGTAATCTAATCAGACCCATAGCCTAATACACTACTTTTCTATTTAAGCTCCAATTAATTTGCCTAGACTTTTTTTTGTATCATCTCTGTTTTGTTTCTCTTGTGTGCGTTTGTTTTTCAGTAAGCAATGGCCTTGGTTTTGCTTCTCTTTTGGATGGCCACCACCACATAGGGCTTGAATGCGGAAGAAGATCTTCTATTTGCCTGTTCCGGTGGCAGTCTGGTAGTAAAACACTGTTGCATGGGCCACGGTTTCAGCATTCCATCAGGTGAATGGGACCAGTCTCTCTTCTTCCAAAATATCAGAAATTAAGTGCTTGGAAAGGAGATTTGGCCAAGATGACCCACTTACAGGCTGGACTCAGTCCAGAGACTATAGAGAAAGCACGTCTGGAACTAAATGAAAACCCAGATGTTTTACATCAAGATATTCAGCAAGTCAGAGACATGATCATCACCAGGCCTGACATTGGATTTTTACGTACAGATGATGCCTTCATCCTGAGATTTCTCCGAGCCAGGAAGTTTCACCAAGCGGATGCCTTTAGACTTCTGGCCCAGTACTTCCAGTACCGCCAGCTAAACCTAGACATGTTCAAAAACTTCAAGGCAGATGATCCTGGCATTAAGAGAGCTCTGATCGACGGGTTTCCTGGGGTGCTGGAAAACCGAGACCACTACGGCAGGAAGATTCTTCTGCTGTTTGCAGCCAATTGGGATCAGAGTAGGTAAATGTAGATAGTGTCTTTACTTGATTTTTCTTTTCTGTAAGCACCATCACTGCACGTTTGGGGATGTATGGCTTTACAGGTAATGGGCTTTTATTTAAAATATATATATTCCACACACTCATCAACAGAGCTTGAAGGCCACAGGTGTGCTATAATCAAAAGGCAATACCAGATGACTAATTGAATCATAACATTATAAATAATCATTCTAGTCATCAAAATTGGTCATTTACTTTAATAAAATTGAAAGCTGATTTTCCAGAAGAACCATATATTCTGTCTTTGGTGTTCTCATCTTTATGAACAATAATAACAAAAATGGATTCAATAGATGGCTCTAAATCAAATGTTTTCAACACATAAAATAATTTCTTGGATCTTCTCCAAGACTTGAATAACCTCTATTTCTCCTGAGTGCCGGACTGACTTTTTTTTTTTTTAATCTAAGTACCTGCTAGACATTGAAAGTCCTATAAGGACCCCCTGCAAAGTCCTATAAGGAACCCCAAATTTGACATGTCCCAAACTAAAAGCATCATCTTTCCTACTATACCGGCCCTTTTATCCACTGAGACTCTCAAGTCAGAAATCTGGGAGTCATTCTTGAGTGCTTCTTGGGTTGGCCTTTACATCCAATTAACTGCCAAGTGTTACCCCTTCTTCTTAAAAACCTCTCAGATCTTTTCACTTCCCTTTGCTCCCATTGCTATTACCATAATTTGGTTTCTCATAATTTTTCACTTACATTACTGCAATAGCCTCCTGATTGGCATCCCCGCCTCTGATCTTATCTCCTCTGAGCCATTCTAGTCTATACTGTAGCCAGGTGACTTTCCCAAAATTCAGTTATATCATTCTCTTGATTAAAGTTCTTTAGTAACCTACAAGGCCTTCAAAGTAAACTAAGGCCTTTACAATCCACCTTCTACATCTCCTACTCTGCTTCATCCTCTGCCATCCTTCATGTTCTCTGGTCTTGGTTGGGAGCATATGCCTTGCCTTAAATAGTTGAGGTTTTTACTTGCCTCTAACCTTTTGAACTTGACCCATTAGATACCTAAAGGAGGGACCAGTTATCCTCTATCCCAACTCTAATCATCCTGACACAATCTGCTTACTGATTTATATCCAACGTTATGGTTCTTTTATTATTATTTTTTGAGTTGGAGTCTCACTCTGTCACCCAGACTGGAGTACAGTGGCATGCTTCCAGCCACCACAGCCTCTACCTGCTGGGTTCTGGTGCTCCTTCCACCTCAGTCTTCCAAGTAGTCGGAACTACAGCTGTGCGCTACCACGCCTGGCTAATTTTTGATTTATTGAAGAGATGAGGTCTCACCAAATTGCCCGGGTGGGTCTCAAACCTATGGGCTGAGGCAATTCACTTGCCTCAGCCTTCCAAAGTGCTGGGATTACAGACTGAGCCACCGAGCCTGGCCAACGTTATGGTTCTTAAGGAAAGTAGTCTTCATTTACCTTCTAGTTTCACTTAGGCACCCTTCCTCTGTTCATATTTCTATTAATGCATTTACAACAAACGTGTAAGAAGCACTGTTATCACAGCTAATATTTTTTATTACTTGCTACATACTCTGTTGAGAATTAATATTTATTTTCTCATTTAATCCACCCATGAACATTGCGTGATAGGTATTATTACCACAGCCCCCATTTTACATTTGATGACACAAGGCTTTGAGAAGTTATGGAACTCACTTAATGTCTCATAGCCAGTGAAGTATGGAGTGGGAGTTGATCCCAACTAGTCTGATTTGAGAGCTAGGTGTCTTAACTTTATTGTAATTGTGTGTCTTTGCTTTGTGTAGTCTTACTCCTCCTCCCAAGACTGCAGGTTCTTTGAGAGAAGGGAACTGTGTCTTTTTTATGTTTGTATTTTTGGCCCATGGTACAATATCCAGTAAATGTTGAATGAATGAATCAGTCTCCAAAGCATCACCTATGGCTTGAGCTTTCACAGAGATATCATTGAAATTTTTGTTTTCTGGGGGGACACAGGTTTAACTTAAAATATATCAAAGTACCCCCCCCCCAGAATCATAAGGAATTTCTAGGGTCGCTTTTCAATGCCTCATGCTCCTACTCTTCCTCTTAAAGATGATAACAGGGTAAAACATCTTAGCCTCCACTGATAATTTTCTGGTTGATAAGTAAGGGTAGAGCAATCTAATGCTGGAAAGGTATTTGAATGTCAACTCTTTTAGTCTGGAGTTTGGTTGGGGCTGCACCTGGGCCATAGCTGCCTTTTCATATTTTTGTTCTATGATTCCATAGTGATATAGAATAACATATATTTAACATATATCATAGTAACATAATTATTGATGAGCCCCTCATTACACTGCTTCACTGTTGAGACAGATTTTTTTTTTGAGTTGTAGTCTCACTCTGTTGCCCAGGCTGGAGTGCAGTGGCACACTCGCAGCCACCACAGTCTCAACCTGCTGGGCTCAGGCAATCCTTCTGCCTTAGCCTTTCAAGTAGCTGGGACTACAGGCACATGCTACCACGCCTGGCTTATTTTTTGATTTATTGTAGAGACGTGGTCTCACCAAGTTGCCCAGGCTGGTCTCAAACACCTGAGCTCAGACAATTATCCAGCCTCAGCTTCCCAAAGTGCTGGGATTACAGGCTTGAGACACTGCACCTGGCCAAGACCGATTTTTTTTTTTTTTTTTTTTTTTGTTGGAGTCTCACTCTGTCGCCCAGACTGGAGTGCAGTGGCCGCACCCGGCCACTGCAGCCTCGACCTGCTGGGCTCCGGCGATCCTTCCGCCTCAACCTTCCGAGTAGCCAGAATTACAGGTGCACGCTACCACGCCCGGCTGATTTTTTGATTTATTGTAGAGATGAGGTCTCGCTGCCCAGGAGGGTCTCGAACCCTCGGGCTCAGGCAATCCACTCACCTCAGCCTCCCAAAGGCGCGGGGTGACAGGCTGAGCCACCGAGCCCGGCTCAGTTTTTTTTTTTATAAGTCTTTAGCTTCATCCATCTGTATCATTCACTCAACAAATATTTGGTGAGTACAGAGATTTGCACCAGGGCTTGTCCGAAAGCACTGAGAACAGTGATGAAAACACATGGTCGTGCTAGTGAAGACCCCATTGTGCAGCCTATTGTCCAGCAGTGGTGCAGACATACAGAGAGTTCATCCCCATCTGCCAGAATGACTTCTTCTGAGACATATAAACCATGGATGCAAAATATCAGTGTAAACTACAGGGAACAGCTGTCTTCCCGAGAATGGCACATTAACATTTCAAAACTTGCAACAGGAAAATTTTGATGATTCTGGAGAATAATCATACTGACTTCATTTGTGCTCAGCTGTTGTCAGTGTTCTAGAACTTCCATCTGCTAAGACAGACGAGGTGGTGAGTGGTGACGTACACATGAAGAAATGCACCACAGTAAAACACTTTATTTTGTGTTAGGATTTAGTTTGTGTATATCCCAAATGTGTTGTTAAGAAGAAGAAACAAGTTTCTGAGCAAATAATCTAAATGTTTATGATTATGATAACCTCAAACAAGCTATTTTATGTCTGTTTCTCAATTCCCTTATGTGTAAAATAAGAAGCTTGAACTATGCAATCACCAAGATACCTTCAAACTCTAATTGTTCACGAGTGTGAGGCTCATTCAGCCTGATCCTGTGGATGGAAAGGAACTTAAAAGTTTTTGAAGGAATCTCTCTCTCTCTGTCTGTCTGCTGTCTCTCTCTTTCTCTCATTGTGTGTATGTGAGAGAGAGAGAGAGAGAGAGAGAGAGAGAGAGAGAGACCTCTTCCATCTCATTTTTTCAAACTGTGCAATATTATCTGTTCTAAGCCATTATGGCTTTAAACCAAAAATTGGCAATGATAGGGCTATCTCACTAGTAGGCAACTTTTAGCTAAAAAGGAATCTCAGTTTGAACCTGTCATGTCATTTACCAGTTATATGACCTTGGACAAGCAACCTCGGTGAGACTCAGATTCCTCATTTGTAAGGTGGAATAATAATGACATCTATCTAATTGTGTGATTGGGAGGATTAAATGAAATAGTGCATTGAAGAAATGCATCTCATTGTTGGGCACAATATAAGCACTCTACATATTAGCTTCTAGTATTAATATATGACTAATGTTATGGAATATTGCAAGTCAGAAGTAATACAGCACAGATGAAATTAGAACCAGAGACCGAAGTACAATATTATGGGAGTGAGTGATGCATTCGACCTGTCCATACGCTGGTCCTGAGCACCTGGTTGCTTTCTCCCCAAACCTGTTTCCTGTCACACAGACCCACCCCAAATGGGACCTAAAAGGCCTGGAAGGGTTGACACAGCCTTGCCAGGCAATTGCTTCCTTCTCACCGGGAGCCTGAGATGACTAGAAAGTTATTTGAATGTCTCATGAAAGGTTTACTGAGATTAAAATGGCTATTAATATTTATTAAGAAGATGGAACTCTCATTCACCTAGACCCAGACACAGCGACAAAATGCGGAACAGTGAGTGGTGGGAAGCACTGTTTTCCAAAGCTGTGTGGTGCCAGGCTCTGTGCTTGGGTTAGGTGTGGCAGCTGAGGCACAGCCAGTGCTTGTGCTACCAAGCATAAATTGGCCTTGTCTGGACACTGGGCCTCAGCAGAGCTGACTTCCATATTTTCTGCCAGGCTGAACTGGAATCAGTTAGATAAAATCAGTGCTTGCATATCCATTCATAAAATGAACCTAGCCCTCCCAGAGTCAGCAGCGCTTGCATTCCAGCTCACCAGCTTGGCATGTAATGGAGACCTAAGGCAATACTATTGCTCGGTGTGTCCTTTGATCTTTGCCACCTAAACTCATATCAGCATTGGCAAGAATCCACATTTTGCCCCTTTAAAATATGATCAAAAATAAATCCATTTCTTGTCTATTTCTGAGCTGCAGATGCACACCTGGTCATAAGCCTGATTTGCGGCAAATGCCCAGATACTGGGAAAGAATATGAGC